AGAGTCCCCCTGACAACAAAGAAAGTGGGGGGGGGGGGGTGTTTAAAAGTTAACTAAACTGCTAGTTTTGTGATGTGTTGAACCATTCTGGAAAGTTACAAAACCAGCCAGATGGTTTTAAATTCAAAACGAGAGAGAAAATTAAAAGGAGAGTGGAATGCACTCACATCCCCACGAGCGACACAGGAGCTCAAGTTGCCCCCTTCCCCCCAAGTCAGGCTAAGTAGTTTTCTCTTTTCTTTTCCCGTTCCGCCTAAGAACAACCCGGGCGAGGGGAGGAAGGAAGCAGAAGGATCGAGAAGGGCAGAGGCAGCGGAAAGGCCCCAGCGGCCGGGACTCCCAGTCGCACTCCCTTCGACTAAGGCATGGCGGCCGGCCCAGGAAGCGCCCAAGCCACTCACCTGTGGGGATGCCGAGCTCTTTGGAGCCACGGCCGAAGCCCCGCACCACCTCCCCGCGACAGAAGTAGGGCAGGTGCTTCATAAAGGCGGCAGAGGACTCGATTCCGGCGACACCCGCAGTCAGGGTCAAGCGGAGCGGTGGGGAGCGCGAGAACACCGCACACTGCCCGGCAGCCGGGGAGAAGAGCACACGGGGAGAAAGGACACCGGCATACAGCGGGCGGAGCATCACGCGCCTCCCGGAGAAGGGGCGGGGCGAAGTAATGCGTCAACGCTTTTGCCGTCAGTCAGCCCGAGCATTCGAAAAGCAGTTCCGTCGGCTGTCTACTCGCAAGCCTATGACCGGGACCCCCGTGTGCTTTCTGTTTAGAGCGAGGCGGAAGGGCGCCCCGCCGTATGTGAGCGCATGCGTCCGGACAAAGGCCCCCTTTTTTTCTCGTTATAGAGGGCGAAACGCGGTAGAGGCTAAGCAATACCTTCCCCGCCTGCCCTGTTTCAGTTGGTGCCTGCGCAGATGCAGAAATATGCGGACGGGGTGTGTGTGTGTAAGAGGCTGCGTCCTTTCATGTTTTTCGCTTCAGCTGGGCCCCATTGTGGCGTCATCAGTTTTCGCCTCAAGCGTCTGTGGCAGTGTAGCCTGGGCGACGGGGGGCGGGGAGGGGCGCCGCAAGCGTTCGCGTCCTGTATCTCGGGTTGAGGCAGGAGTAATTGTCTTAAAGGAATTAAGGTGTTTTAGAAACTCAGCATATCAAACAGTGCAGTCCTAAGAATACTTGCCTGGGAATGAAACTCCATTGGGTACGCTTGGTTACGATTGCCAGTAACATTACTAAGCATGTCCTTCAATTTCACCTTTTACAGAAAAAAGTAAAAGCTGGATCCTGATGGGTCATCTAATTTTTCCCCACTAAACTCTCCCAAATCTAATATCAAATCACGTGGCTAAGCCAAGACCACAGATTGTACCTTTAAAAACATGCATCCAGTACTTTGCAGCGTGGATCTTCATGAATTCATACGATTTTTTTTACATTGAAACAAAACCGTCTTCTTACTGTGGATCATGTCTTAGTCTATAGTCAGCACCGCAAAAACATTGTTTTGTGATGGCACCGTGGTGCAAAAATGTAGTTCAGAAGCATGAAGCCTCATGATTTTTGCTCTGTCACCCCAAAAGCACCATGAAATCACAGATCATGTCCATAGCCACATCTTACACCAAATCACAGATCCACTGCTTCATGGTGCCACTATGGTGCAAAATTGTGGTTCAGAAGCCCAGCTCCTCATGGATCCTCAGGGTGTTTACATTGGGTAGCCTCAAATGCACTGTCCAATAAAATATCATGTTCATGGTCACAGACTGCATGACAAATATCATGCATCCACTGCTTTCTGGCACCACCATGGTGCAAAAAGTTGGTTCCAGAGCACAGATCCTCAGGATTTTTACATTTGCTCATGCCAAATTAATTATCCAATTACATATGCCTATGGCCTCAGCTTGGGTAGGGCTGTGGCTCAGTGGTAGAGCATCTGCTTGGCATGCAGAAGGTCCCAGGTTCAATCCCTGCTATCTTCAGTTAAAAGATCTGGTGGTAGGTGACTTGAAAGACCTCTGCCTGAGATCTTGGAGAGCCACTGCCAGTCTGAGTAGACAAGATGGACCAAGTGTCTGTTCAGTATAAGGCAGTTCCATGTGTTGCACCACAAAAAAACATGCATCTACCACTATGTGGCACTATCACAGCACAAAAATACAGATCCAAAGCATGGATCCTCTTTTTTTTTTTTTTGCAACACAAAAACATGGTTCTCAAGCACCGGTCCTCTTGGATCTCCAAGATTTTTGCACTGGGTCACTCCAAACTCACTATCCAATCACACAGGATATCCAAAGCCACAGTTTGCACAGCAAAAATCATGGATCCACTGCTTTGTGGCACCACCATGGTACAAAACTGATTCTAAAGCACAGAACCTCGTGATTTGTACTTTTGGTCACCCCAAAGCCTGTTTGGCCGCATCCAAGGTTTTACACAGGACCGGACCGGCTTCTTTAAGGTGCTTGCACCAGTCACCTACTTTCCCCTCTGGGAGGGGAATATCCGCAAGGAACGGGAGAGGTGGTGCCTCATAACCATAGACTGCCATGAATGGGGACACACCAGTCGATGAATGACATGCATTGTTATAGCAAAATTCAGCCAAGCGGAGAAGACCCTCCCAGTCATCTTGCTGGAAATTAGTAAAACACCTAAGATACTGTTCAAGAGTCTGATTAACCCGGAGAATGTAGATGCAAATATGATGTTGTGAGTGAGATATTTGGCTAGTTGTTTTAAAATGTATGGCTCTTTTTGATGTAACCTGTCAAAAATAATAAACTTTGCCCAACTGGGCAAGACAAAAAAAAAAGAGTCTGATTAACCCGCTTGTACAGGTCTTTGCCCACCCAAGCCAGTCCAGGAATGGGAGGGAATCCTGTACTTTTCAGTACATTAAACAACAAACCACGAGATGGTCTATATCCTCTCTGGCTTTCAGAACAATATGCCACCAGAACCTCTTTTCACTAGTCCCTGCCTTTCCTAAGGGAGAGATTCCAAACCCTTAGTTGGCATCTGGGACAAAACACATTAGCAACTCAGTATAGAGATGCACACTTTTTACCAAGGTAGCATATGTAGGGAACGTTAGGCTACAAGATTTAGACTTAGAATTCAGGTACAATATCAGAAACCATTTAACAATCAGAAGGATCTTTATTCAGTACAGAGATTAGCATAGACTACCAGAGATTACAAAATAACAAAGGCTAGGGCAATTTGCCTTAACTACACATTAAAGATACATAGTTACCAAGGTCAGGCCTTAACTACACATTAAAGATACATAGTTACCAAGGTCAGGATATGCATCAGTCCAAGATAGTATGAGTACCAAGGGATTTTAAGGAGAAACCCCATCCTTGCACCCATGTGCTGCAGTTCACAAAGCAATTCTTTGTCTCTCACGAGGCAGCATTTCCAGGTGCCATAAAACAAACAACGACAAGAGGAGGAAGTGAGAGCTAAGCAAGCGAAGAGAAGAGCTAAGCTACTACTCCCAGAGGGACCAAAACAATTATAGCCCAATCTAATCGCAATCAGCTGTGGCCATCAGCCAATCACGAGTGGACAGGGGTGTGTGGCCAATTGTTTGTTGCCATAGCTGCAACATAGGAATGGCTAGAAGTTTGGAGGCCCCTCCTGCAGTCAGGTGACCCAAACTTCACAGCTTCTCCATCATCTACATGACTTGTTGCATGTGGGCTAGAGCCAGGAGCCATCAGGTCTGGCTCTTCCACTTAGAGGTGTGAAAGAATGTGTGGTTATATGGCATGACTATTGAGGTAGTTCAGGCCATTTGGTCTGCCCTGGACCATTTGGCCTGCAACAGGAAACAGAGACAGCATGGTATCAGACATCACAGGAGAAGGCATGTAGATATAGAAGCAGAAAGCACTTTTTCTAAACACTGCTCCGTTTGCCCATCCGTCTCAGGATGGTAGGCACTGCTCAAGCCCCACTCCACCCCCATCAGTTTCATGAGCTCTTCCCAAAACTTAGAAACAAACTGGGAGCCGCGGTTAGATATTATCTTCTGTGGCAAGGTGTGGAGTCTAAAGATGTGTTGCAAGAATGCCTTAGCCAGGCTTCAGGCAGTCGGCAGTGACTTAAACAGGATGAAATGGGCCTGTTTCGAAAACAGATCCACAACCACCCAAATCAGTCTTCCCCCTACTAGGAGGTAAGTCAGTAATGAAGTCCATAGAGATTACTTCCCATGGACGAGCCAGGGTTGGATGGAGTTGCAGGAGACCTGGAGGCTTCCCTGGGCGGGATTTGCACATAATACAGGTCTGGCAGGACTTCACAAATAGAGAAAGGTCCTTGCGCATTCCAGGCCACCAAAACTGTCTCTGTAGCAAGTGTAAGGATTTAACAAATGCCAAATGTCCCGCCAACTTAGATCCATGAACCATGGCCATGATTTCACCCCGCAAAGATAAAGGTACAAATAACTTCGAACCACGATACCAACACCCCTTTGCCCACTCCTCCACCTCGCTCTCCTTGCTCAATTTGAGGTGGTCAGCATCTGAAAAGGCAGAAACAAATTTCTCCTCCCATCTGTGGGCAGAGGATGAAAGAGGCTGGGCTTTAGTTTGGCTGCGTGTTGTCACCACCCCTCCTAGTTGTGAAGGCGTGAACATGGAATTGAGCACACCCTCCTGTTGACTGTCATGTTGTGGGAGGTGGGACAATGCATCCGCCAGCGAGTTTGGCTTCTCCGGAAAATGGTGAAGAGTGAAGTTGAACTTGGAGAAGAAATTGGCCCACCACAATTGTTTAGCATTCAGATTTCTGGGGGTCCGCATAACCTCCAGGTTTTTATGATCAGACCTCAAAAGGCACCCTCACCCCCTCCAACCAATGGCGCCAAGTAGAGAGCGCCAACTTGATAGCCCCCGCCTCCTTGTCCCATACGGACGAGTTCCTCTCAGTGTCATTAAATTTGCGGGGGGTGAAGTTTCCCATTCTCCCCCTCTTGCAGGATCCCCCCCATTGCAACGTCTGAGGTGTCGACCTGCATGATAAGTTTTTTGAGTTCGTTCGGGTGGGCTAACACGGGCTCAGATGTAAAGAGTGCTTTAAGACGCTCAAAAGCCTCCTGGCATTCGTTAGTCCAGTTTAATTTAGCTCCCAGCCAGGAACATTCAGGTCCCTTCCCCTTTGTCTTCAGTAAATCTGTGAGCAGCAAGCTCACCTGGGCAAAATTTGCAAGAAATTACCAGTAAAAGTTCGCAAATCCTAAAAATGCTTGTAATTGCCTCCAGGTTTGAAGGGGCTTCCACCCCACCACATCCCGGACTTTAGCAGGATCCATTTCCAGACCCCTCTGTGAAATGTGGTAGCCCAGGAAGTCAATTTCAGAGCAATGAAATTCACACTTGGACAGTCTGGCAAACAGTTTGTGCTTGTGCAATGTTTACAAGACCTCTCACACCAGCTTAACATGTGCTGGTTTATCAGGGGAATAAATAAGATATCATCAAGGTAAACAATCACTCCCTTAAACAAGTGCTTGTGTAATACCTCATTTATGAGGTTCATGAAGACCCCAGGGGCTCCTTGAAGTCCGAAGGGCATCGCCCTGTACTCGAACTGTCCCAACGGGGTATTAAAGGCAGTCTTATATTCGTCCCCAACTTTTATGCGGACACGAAAGTATGCGTCTCAAAGTTCAAGCGTAGAAAAAAATTTCCCCTTAGCCACTTCCGCTAAGAGGTCTTTCATGAGTGGTAGAGGGTAAGCATTTGTGGTGGACACAGCATTCAGGCCCCTATAGTCCGTACACAGTCTCAACCCCCCATACTTCTTTTTCCGGAACAAGACTGG